CCAGCCCACTCTCACCAGACCCTGCAAGCCCAGCCCGGGGAGCTCTCCCCAGGGGCCCCGGGGCCCCAGCCAGCCCAGGACACCACCGGCGGGGCCCCCAAGCTCCAACCTCCTCTACCTCCAGATCCCCCAGAGCGAAACAAGTGCCCAAGCCTGAACTGGGGCAAGGAGGAATCTGGGATGTGGGAACCCTTGCCTCTGTCCTCCCTGGACCCGGCCCCCAGCAAAAACCCCAGCTCGCCAGAGCGGAAGGCCACCTTCCCAGAGCAGGAACTGCAGCAGCTGGAAATAGGTACGGCCTCTGGGTCCCAGGCTACCTCCCCTTTCCAGTCCCTTCCCCATGGATCAGCCCCTGCGGTCTGTGCAGGAAGACCCCTGGCCGCACAGCCGGGCCCCTCCCAGTCTTTCACAGCCTCCTTCTGCTTCGTTTTGCAGAATTATTTCTGAACAGCCTGTCCCAGCCATTTTCTCTGGAGGAACAGGAGCAAATCCTCTCGTGCCTCAGCGTCGACAGCCTCTCCCTGTCAGATGACAGCGAAAAGGTGAGGCGGCCGTGAGCCGGGCACCAGGGCACAGAGCAGGGGCTTCGTGTCCAGCTGGTGAATGGGCTGTGTGCGAGTAGTGGGTAAAGAATGGGAGCGGGGTGGGGTCACCCCTTCCTGCTGGGAGGGGTCTTCACTGGAGCAGGGGGCCTTGGTCTCTCAGAGTGAGACGCTCCGTCTCCAGCCAGCACTGCCGGACATTAGGGAATGGTTTGGCCACTGGGGATGGTGGGGAAGGAGGCTTGGGTCTTGGTCCCCATAGAAAAAGTCCTCACCCTCTTCCAGCTCAGGGGCCCCTCATGACCGCAGCCTCCTACTGAGCCCCAAAAGTGCCCAGTGGAGCCATACACCAACCTAGAAAAGAGCAGTTCCTCACTGCAGGGGCAGGCCCGGGTCCCCTTTGCCCCAGGCAGACCAAGGCAAGAGATGGTTCCCTGAGCCCAGGACCCTGAGCCTGTGCCCCCCCCTTGTTGTTTCAGAACCCGTCAAAGGCCTCTCAGAGCTCGCGGGACACCCTGAGTTCCGGGGTGCACTCGTGGGGCAGCCAGGCCGAGGCTCGCAGCTCCAGCTGGAACATGGTGCTGGCCCGGGGGCGGCCCACGGACACGCCAAGCTATTTCAATGGTACAGCACCCACCTGCTCAGCAGCCCCCAGCACCTGACCCACCTGGGACTAGGGAGCCTCAGGGCTTTGTCCCCCTTCCTCTGGCTCCTGGCGAAGGGAGAGGAAGGCTCCTGGTACCCAGAACTTGAAGTACTTGGCCATAAGTCAGTTTAGAGCAAAGGCCCTGCTTGCCCTTTCCTGCTGGGGCAGAGGGACTGTTGCCCCTGGTGGGCTGTGGATAGAGCTCAGAAGTCAAGACTCAAGAGCCTTGGCCTAGAGCAGGGGTAGGCAAACTTTTTGACTCGAGGGCCACAATGGGTTCTTAAACTGGACCGGAGGGCCTGAACAAAAGCATGGATGGAGTGTGTGTGTGAACTAATATAAATTCAAAGTAAACATCATTACATAAAAGGGTACGGTCTTTTTTTTTTTTTAGTTTTATTCATTTCAAACGGGCCGGATCTGGCCCGCGGGCCGTAGTTTGCCCACGGCTGGCCTAGAGTCAAGAAACTGAGCAATGAATGTCTCTGAACAAGGTTGCTGGGATCCTCCACTGGGATCTGAAGTCAGAATTGCAGAGAGAAATTACAAAACTTAATTTTCAGGCTTGGTTGCATAAGTTATGTTGTGATTTCAATACAACAAGGGTTTCATCAGCTCACAGTCCCGGGCCCTCGCCAGGCCAGTGTGACTCATGGTTGTCAAGCCTGCACCGCCTGGCCAGAGGCCTCTTCAGCTCAGGGAACAGTACAGTCTAAGATGCCTGCAGTCTAACGTAGGGATCTTTGTTTCCAGCCCCTTTCTGCTTTGTGTGCGCGCTGGAGTACTACTTCCCCATGGAAGCCACCCTTAGCTCTTTGCTCTGTGCAGGGCAAACTCTGGTATTGACAGAAAATGGCCAGGAAGTGTAGAACCTTAGGGCCACTCCGGACTAAATATCATGTATGCAGCTTCCTCATAGCCAGCCTGCTTCCCTCTGCTTAGGGCTCCTCAGGGAGCCAGCAGTCACTTTCCTGACCGTCACCGTGCTTGCATTCTAGGTGTGAAAGTCCAAATACAGTCTCTCAATGGTGAACACCTACACATCCGGGAGTTCCACCGGGTCAAGGTGGGAGACATTGCAACTGGCATCAGCAGCCAGGTAAGGGGCAGGTACACGCTCAGGGGCAGAGAAAGGCTTCTGAATGAACAGAAATGGCCTGTGGAGAACAGTTGGCCTTGGATGTCCCCCAGGGTCTCAGGGCAAGGCCGGCAGTGGTGCCTGCGGGGTTGTCAGGACCCGCACTTGGACCAGGTGAAAGGCAGATGGTGCTCTCGTGCACTGCTTGGCTGGAGGAAGGGAGCTCCCGGGGCTGGGGAAGAGGAGACCGGCAGCTCTATACTTCTAGGTAGCTTCTGAGGCCCAGGCCAGTGTCTCAGGCCCACTGCTTTGCTCTGCCCCAGATCCCAGCCGCAGCCTTCAGCTTGGTGACCAAGGATGGGCAGCCTGTGCGCTACGACATGGAGGTGCCAGACTCGGGCATCGACCTACAGTGTACCCTGGCCCCGGATGGCAGCTTCGCCTGGAGTTGGAGGGTCAAGCACGGCCAGCTGGAGAACAGGCCCTAACCCAGCCTCCGCCACCGGCTCCGCTCAGCCAGAGGAGCCTTCCCTCTTGGCGCTCGATGCTGCCCCTGAGCCAGGCTCAGGCAGCCCCCAGGGATCTCAGCAGTGGGACCAGGCAAAGGGGGCGCCCGCAAAATGCCTCCTAGGATTTCCCACTTGCATCCTGCCTGACCCACCGAGAGAACACCCTGTGCCCATGTGAGGAGGAGAAAGAAGTCAAGAGGCCTCTTTCCACAGGGAACAGAGAGGGCCTTCTCTGCCCTGGCTCAAACGAGCTGGCCTGGCCCTCTGGACCAGTGACCACTTGTCAGGGGAGAGCAGTTTGGGGCCCGTGAGGGACCGGCTGGTGGGTGAGCCTCTCAGCCTCTATGCAGGTCTGAGGGTGACAAGTGCCTAAAGACCCCTACCCAGGTCCAGCACAGGGCCAGGCGGCAGGTGTGCCCAGCCTTGGGTAAACAGGGCCTCCGACCCCCTGGCTGGCCTGGCCACTCTTCAGACAGAGAGGGAGGGAGGAAGGCCTGGCTGGGAAGTCTCCCTGGGAGGATGCACCACGTTCTTCGGGGTATTGCAACGTAGGTCCTGTGCTAAACGCCGTTTCAGCCAAGGACCAAAGAAGGTGTTTCAGTGACGTCCTCAGTCCGCACGTTCGTGCCCCTTGGCTGCTGGCCACACCTTTCCATGAGCAGCAGGCGCTGGGCCCCGACTGCAGCCCCAGCACTGCCCTGACTAGGTGAAGGGCGAAGGCATGAGACCTCCCTGACAGGAAGTGCCTGGGGATAAGGATGAAAGACGGAAAAGAAAGCAGCAGATGTAGGCGCTGCTGTTACCCGAGCCACGGCTTCCAACATCTTGCACACCGGCTTCCCGAGACACAGCTCAGGCATCAAGCCCACACTGACCCTGCCCTGCCCCAGGTTACGGGGGCACTGCCAGCTGCACTTTGCACTCTGATGACCTCAAAGCACTTTCACGGCTGCCCTCCAGGAGGGCAGGTCACTAGCACAAGCAGACTAGGAGATGGGGTGAAGGGACTCAAGTCTTGACCTGTCTCCACACATGTGATCCCTTCAAACCTCCAGATTTAAGATGAGCCCCCCCAATTCCTCTTCATTGCCCAGTCCAGCCTTTTCAGGGAGGGAGCTGATCAGGACTCATGTAGCATTAATCAACTGTGAATCACTGGGAGTTGAGGGGCCTGCTAGTCTCAGCCCCTGGGGATGAGGGGGTATCTATCCACTGAGATTCTTCCTTCGGAATCTTGTCCCCAAGTCTTGCCAAGGTGCCCTCTGTCCAGCTATCTACAAGGAGTCATCCTGCTCCCCAGGGAGACACCCCGACCCCCAGTACATGAAGAACTGCAGGGTTCAAGTTGCAGGGAACTCTGTGAGCAATAAAGTTTGGAGTAATGACACGTATTCAGACCCTGGCTCTCTCCACTCTCTCGCCTGCGTGCAAAGACTCAGATCCTAACAGCTGCTTCCCTTTGCCTTCATGGTGGGATCTTGCCAAGTCTGCCCTATGTTTGGGGCAAGGACGGTTTTCAACCTTTGAGTGGGACTGCCTTTCCCACCACTCCCAGTGGGTGCTTCCAGTGCCCCCTCTGAGCTACCCATCAGACCAGTTTGGCAAGATGCCCCACTAGTGGCAGCAGGGAAGTCCCTGCCAAACACTGCCAGGCTGAAGGGAGGAGGACAGTGGAGAAGAGAAGGCCTGGGCACTGACCAGGCATGGATAGTGGGGCATCCTGCAGGCCCAGAGCAAAGGCTGCCCCACCCACTGCTCCTGTCCCTGAGACCAGGCTCCAGGGGACTTAGTGGGGAAGGGGAGGAGAGCCTGGATGCCCAGCCCTTCCAGCCACCTCCTGGGGCCTGCCTGTGAGCAGGGGTGACTTAGAGTGGGGACCTTGGTCAGGGGACAGGGGCATGCCTGAGGGTGATGCCACCAGCACACAGGGTGTCTTGTCTCATCTGGTTTCACAGCCCCTGAAGCTGTGCACGAGTGAGTGTGTGTGTGTGCGCGCGCACCTGCCCGCAGGAACATTCCCGCCCACCTTGGGGTAAAGGTCGAAGGTTCCATGGGTTCTTGGAGGGCTCCTGGGTGCACAGAGGGCGGCGGCCTTGGGCCAGAGCAGGTGCAAAGGCCAGTCGGGAGACCCCAGCCCTCTCTGCCCTGGGCCTGCTGCGAGGAGCAGAGCTGCCTGGTTCCCAGACGGGGCTCCGCGGCCGAACGAGCGGGTGGGGCCTCCTCCGGTGTCCGCCCCTTCAGGCCGCTCCCACCCACGCGCCGGAAATCCTGCGCGCAGTTCCCGGCCCACGGGACTCGCCGGGACGTCACAGAGGCCGCGACATCACAGGCACCGGCGCCCACAGCATCTCCACCGCCCCCACCAAAGAGCACAGTGGAGGCGGAGGGGCAGCAGCCACCATCCCTCCCCGCCTCCCCCAGAGCCTCCCTGGTCGCCAACTGGTCTGCATGGGGATGACAGGTGGGAGCGGGCGGCGGGCTGGGCGGGTGCGCAGGGACTGCTCGCGTGCAGTGGGCGGGGAAAGTGGAAGTGGGGGGCAGGGTCTTGGCCCCGCGCTCCTGCCCCTGCTCCTCAAGGCGGGCGAGGGGGTGTGCACAGTGGAAAGGGCGATTCCAGCCAAAGCCCTGGCCATCCTGGAGGGGGGAGGCGGGGGGGGCCCTGTGCGGCGCAGTCGCCCGCGTGTGCACCGGCAGCAGGTACACCTTGGGGTTTAGGCCGCACATTCGGAGGGTTCTTGCCCAAAAGTTCTAGGAACAGTTAGCCTTGTGCCCAGAAAACGACTCATGAATTATCCAAAGGGCAGACAACCGCTCAAATCGTGGCTAGTTGCCCCTGACCGGTGCTTGGAACTTCTGCAGGAAGAAAAAGCAACCACGACTGTTTCATGAGCACCTCCTCTGTGCTGTGCACTCTTCTGTGCCAAGGAGCAAAGATGCTTGCCCTCCGGGCCCTGGGTCTCCCCAGTTTCTGGTCATGGGGGCTCAGGCCCCCACTGGAATGAGGGCTTTTCCCTCAGGACCTTCTCTCCCTGGAAAACATACCTGGGCCAGCATTTAAAAATGCGCCCAAAACCAATGCATAAATAAGTAATAAACTGTGCCAACAACCAACAACCAGAGAGCAGCTTATCCCCGTTCCCAAATTTGTGGGGTAACAAATTTATGCAGACATTTTAAGTCACTCCCGCAACACTTACTACACCCCCTCCAGGGGCTATTCTTATGCTAAGTAGGCCTGGGTCTGATGCTTGACTAAAAGTAAAATGTAGGTCAGCAGAAGCCCCCTCTGGGCCACCTCCAGCTCTGGGTTAAGCAGAGCCATGGACAGGCTGCAGCACCTTCTCACCTGCGCCACCTGACCCTTCCCAGTACCCATGATGCCAATGCCGCTGCGAAGGGCAAGGGACAGTCCAGGGCTGAGCCCCAACTGAACAAGGGCTCATTCACGCTCTTCAGACTCCTGGCCCGCCCCAGCTGAAGAAATGAGAGGTGGTTTGGCCCCAAGTAAAAGCACAGTGTATGTGTCCAACTTGCCGTCTTCCCTGACCAACAGTGACACACGGACTATTTTCCAAGTGTGGCAAAAATTGTAAAGGTCACTATAATGAAAGTTAAAGACACCAGGAAGAGTAAAGGCATTGCATTTATTTTATTTTTTGATAAAGAGTCTGCACAAAACCATACCAGGACAATGAACAACAAAGTTATTGGGTAGTGATAAAAGCAAGCATTGCTACTGGTAATGGAAGAGCAGCTGAGTTCGTCCAAAAACAAAACTATTTGATAGTGAATCTAAGTGTTATGAATGTGGGTGAAGAAGTGGAAGAAAGTGGAGATGAAGGGAAAATCCTGCTCTTGACAGCCTCAGTAAGTCTATCCAACATAAAGAAGAAATAATACCAATTTTACACAAACTGAGAAAATTGGAGAGGGGATACTTCTCAACTCATTCTCTGAGGCCAGTATTAATCTACTATCAAAACCTGACAAAGACATTACAAGAAAAGAAAATTACACACTAGTACACCTCATGAACATATATGTGAAAATTCTAAAAAAGAAAAATAGCAAATCAGATTCAACAGTGTACAAAAAGATAATACATCATGGCGAAATGAGGTGTATTCCAGGAATGAAAGATTAATTTTTAAAAATGTTTAATGAGTGTATTTCACCATAAAATAAATTATTAACAGAAAATATATAACAGTATTCATGTTAACATGTAACATGCTATATATAAAAAAAATAGCAAATCAGATTCAACAGTGTACAAAATGAGGTTTATTCCAGGAATGCAAGATTAATTGCTATATATTAACATGCTATATATAACAATATGTTAACTGATTACAAAAGAAAAACTATATGATCATCTCAATAATTTAAAAACATCAGACAAAATCCCACATCCCTTCCTAACTAAAAACTAAGTAAACCAGGAATAGAAGGTAACATTGTCAACCCAATAAAAGGCATCTATAAGAAAAACTACAGCCAGCCTGGCCGGCGTGGCTCAGTGAATAGAGTGTCGGCCTGTGGACTGAAGGGTCCCGGGTTCGATTCCGGTCAAGGGCATGTACCTTGGTTGCAGGCACATCCCCAGTGGGAGATGTGTAGGAGGCAGCTGATCGATGTTTCTAACTCTCTATCTCTCTCCCTTCCTCTCTGTAAAAAATCAATAAAATATATTTTTAAAAAAAGAAAGAAAAATTACAGCCAACATCATATTTAGCGGTATAAAAATATATTTTTTTAAAAAGAAAGAAAAATTATAGCCAACATCATATTTAGCGGCGATATACTGAATGCTTTCTCCCTAAGCTCAGGAACAAAGCGAGGATGTCCACTCGCCACTTCATTCAACACTTTACTGGAGATTGTTCTCGTGCGATAAGGCAAGAAAAGGAAATAAAGAGACACCTAGATTGGAAAGGAAGAAGTAAGCCTGTCTTGAGTCACACCCGTATTGTTTATGTAGGAAACCTATGAATCTATTACAAAATAAAACTAGAACTTACAGGATTTTAGGACAGTTGCAAGATCAATAACATTTCTATGTACTAGCAATCGGCAGTTAGAAATTGAAATTATTCCGCATCCTACAGAATGTCACGGAAGTCCCAAGTTGAGTCAAGCTCAGACTTTTGTTTCCAACCCCCAGTGCTGCCATGAGGTCCACACCATAATCACTTTTCCTCCTGTCCACATCCCGTTGCTGTTCATGGGAGGATTAAGACTGCAGGATGTTGATTCAATAGCCAGGGAAACCCTGTAAACAAGCAAGGAAGGCTGTGAGGTCAGAGGCCTGGGAGGAGCAGCACTTGGGCAGGTGACGTTGAAGATGAGAGAGACGGGGAGGAAGCCACGGGAGTGTGATAGTCTAGGCGAAGGGTTCTGAAGAGACCACTTATTCTGTCCATGGTGGTGCAGACTTCTAGCCCCGTTGATCCAGGCTGAACATGGAAGTGCCCAAATCCCAGTCCCGGGACCAGCCAGCAAGGACCCTCCTCAGCCTCTACATCTCTAGGAAGAGGCCGCAGCACATTCTGATCCTTTTGATATAACCCTGGGAGCAGTTCTCAACCAGAGCCAGGGCTGTCACTTCCTGCCACCCTCCAGGCTCATGGGAACCCCGCTTGCCCATTGCCATGATGACCTCACCATCAACCCCTATCCATGACGCTGGGGAGCAAGGATTGGGACAGCCTCCCACCCCCAGAGATTGAAAAAAAGCTTTTGCAGTAAAAGACACAAATCTCCAGGGAAGATTGTAATGTGCCAAAAACCTGAGTGGGAAGACCTGCCCCAAGGAGTCTCTGTGTAGGGTTATCAGAGCTCCTAAATAACCAGGTCCGTAGCAGCATCACCTGGGTTGAGAACCTGGGCCCAGAGTTGGGGGTGGACGACCCCAGGATGTGATGGGGTGAGAGCCAGGGAAAGCGAGGATGGACTTTGGGATAGGAGGACGGGTAGGCTGAGTGGCAGATCTGAGGCCTGGCCAGAAGAGAGTGGAGAAAGGGACAGAGGGACAGGAATGGAGGGAGATGAGGAAGGTTTCATGTGGACATGATGGGGAACCCCACACAGTTCTGGGCTCCTGAGTAGGACAGCATGCAGGACAGGGAACTTGAGTTTCCTGAGTCCAATCTGCATTCACATGCTAACTTCCTGAATGATCAGCTGAAGGACCTTGGGCAAATGAACCTCCTTTTTGTTGAATCAACGAGATAAAGCCCAGAAAGTGCTCAACATAACGCCTGGGTTAGTAGTTCTCAATAAATGGCACTGAGTGCTGTTAGCACTCACCCTTTCGGAGGGCCAGCATGGACCAGCATGGAGAGTGGCGGGGAGCAGACGTGAAGGATAGGTCGTCATGTCTGCTGACACTGGCTAGGAAGAGGGAGGAAACAAGGGTTAAGATGGGAGAGGGACCGGTAAATGGGTTAAGGTGAGGAACGGAGAGAGATGGAGAGGACGGCTGAAGCCTCACTAGCAGCCCCTGTTCCAGAACCCCTCACCGCCTTCTTTCTGCCAGGTGCCAATGGATTTCCCTGCTGTAGCAAGGATTCGGTGGACATAGTGGAAACACAGTGAGAACCAGTCCCCCATCATCGGAGGACTGCTCCCCCACCTTCCAAGACAACCAACCCTTACCCCCACTTGCCACCACTGCCAAGTTTTCATATACCCCCCCAACCCAGCATCTCCCTCCATCTATTTTCAAAATCTCCCCAAGGATAGTATCCAGGCCAAAAGGCCATGGTGGGGTGAGGGCCCGGGGGTGTGGGTAGCACCCCCTCCTGCTTCTGTCTCCAGTCTCTGATCTTGGAGGAGGACTAAGGGGCAGTGGGCATACCCAGGGACGCGGATGGGACCTGACCCCTTAGATCCACCTTGCTCTAAGGACAGAGCTGTCCGAGTTGGGGTTGGGCAGGTTCCTAAAGAAGGAGAGGGGGTCACATGGCTGAGCACTGAAGGCAAGGGGCCAAGATGGCAGCACATGGCCAACAAAACTGAGGGAACCCTACGCACACACACCTCTGCTCTTCACATCTGCTGAGCTGGGACTGAGCAGGTTGGGGAAAGGCAGTGCCCTGGGCTTTTCCTTCTATGAGGAGCCACTTCCTGGGCACTGGTTCTCCAAGTGAGCCGCATCAGCTGACAGATGCTTGATTAGAATGCAGATTCCTGAGCCTCTCCTCCAACCAATTGGATCCCTCTTTGCGGGGGGGCTAGGGGGACAACTTGGCAAGCTCTCCAGGCACTTTCTAAACTCACTAAAGTTTGAGGCTACAACTCCAGAATTCTTGGTGGGAGTAGAGACAACCAAGGGAGTGGATAAGCTGGGGACATCTTGCCAGCCCCTGTATAAAGCTCCCCTCCCCGCTAAAGCCATCCCACCAACCCCGTGGAGCCCTGTCACCCACTCTGTCTCCTTCTGTCTTAGGATTGACTTAAACCAACATGAGCTCCCACCTACACAAGAGGAGTCCCAGCCTTCACAAGAGGAATCCCAGCCTGCACAAGAGGAGCTCCCACCTGCACAAGAGGAGTCCCAGCCTGCACAAGAGGAGTCCCAGCCTGCACAAGAGGAGTCCCAGCCTGCACAAGAGGAGTCCCAGCCTGCACAAGAGGAGTCCCAGCCTGCACAAGAGGAGTCCCAGCCTGCACAAGAGGAGCTCCCGCCTGCACAAGAGGAGCTCCCGCCTGCACAAGAGGAGCCCCAGCCTGCACAAGAGGAAGATGAGGAAGAGGTAAGTGGGCAGGGTCACCTCTTCTGAAGAGGTGGTAGACAAAGCCCATCTTCCCTAAATTCTAACCAGCCCCTAGCCTTGACAATTCTGGGACCCTAGGTCCAAACTGATATTGACCTTGCTCACACCACCTCCCTGCCCCAGGAGGTCTCTGCAAAGAGGCCGGTGTGGGGAGGAAGTGTGCAGTGTGCAGTGTGTGTGTGTGTGTGTGTCCATGAGGGTTGGGGTCGGGGGAGCAGGGCAGGGAACTGGTGCAAGGGAGGACCCGAGGGGCAGGGGCCTCCTCAGCTTTCAGTTGAAACTTTCCAGGAGGATGAATCGCTACACTTGAATGTCCCACCTAAAGAGGACCCGGAACAAGACACAAAACTGGTGCAGGAGGCCAACACTCCGCCACCGTTGGAGGAGTATTGCCCGGCCCCCATGCTTAAGCCTGAGGCCAAGAAGGACTCCAGCTTGAAGGTCTGCAATGAGGACCTGGAATCCTCCCAGCCCCTCGAGGGGGCGCTAACGCAGCCGGACACCCAGCAGTGGAATGTGAGGTCGAGCTCCATCACAAGCCCAAGCCCGAGTATCATGGACGTGGAACAAGTGGACTCCACCCACCGCTCCATCTTCGTGCAGACTTCCAAGCACCTCTTCTGGGCAGACAAAGATATCCAGGCCTCAGAACACAGCCTGGATTTGGAGACCGGCCTGCAGCGCGGCAAGAGCACAGAGAAGATCGCCAGCCCCCTGAACCAGAAGGCAGCCCCAGAGCCGGTCCCCGTAAAGCAGTTCCAGGACGCAAGCACCCAGGCAGAGCTTTCAGAACCAGGCACCGGGCAGCCCTCAGACACCCACTTGCCCTCCCCCTGTCTCACACCAGCTATCAACTTACAAGATCTGGTCAACTTCGCATCCTCCCTGGCCATCGCCTCCTCCAGCAACAGGGACCTGCCCAGTCTGGAGCACATAATGAAATCTCCACCCCGGAAGGCCGTGGAGCCTTCTCCGGTGCCCACGGTGGAGAGCGCCACCCCGCCTGCCAAGGGGGAGCCAGAGCAGGAAAAGCTCCCTGAGTTGCAGGAGAGGGCATCCGAGAAGTCGCTGGAAGCCGGAGAGCCACTGGAATCTGCCAAGCAGGAAGACAAGACCCTGCACCCTTACTTTGACTTTAGCAAGCCGGAGCCCCAAAGGACCGCCTTTAAAGGGAAAGTCAAGTTTATCCAGTGAGTAAGTGAGGCTGGCGCAGCTCCCCGCAGGGGGCAGCCGCTCGAGGATGTGTGGGTGGGCCCGCTCCTCACAGTTTCGGGAGGACAGGGACCGGTGGAATGGGGGGCTGGGTGGAGGAAGGGGTGGAGGAAGGCGGGGTGCAGTGCCAAGGCCAGGGCTGGAGGAGGCCCGGGAACCTGGGAGAGTGAGCACTCCAGGGCTCGCCAGGGACCTGGGTTCAAAATGGGAAGGTCCGTTCTAGCATTAGGAAGCCTCTCACCCTGCGGGCCGATGACCTGTCCCTCATCAGAAACGCTCAGGCTAATTCCATGCCAAGAACACGGCTCCAGCCCGGGGCCCAGGACACTTCCATCGAGTGGCCAGCGCGGGAAAAGAGTCCTGCAGCACCCCTTGCTTCTAGCGATGCATGGACACAGTACAATGTCAGCCGCCCATCCGCGTGCAGCAGGAGCAGGTCCTCTTGCCCCAGGGCCCTCCTCGAGCGGCCTCTGGGCTCATCCCTCTGCCTCGACCCTCCCACTGGAGCCCAAGTGACACCCTCTCTTTTGCATTGCAGCTCAGTGCCGGGAACCAAGAAAGAGACTCCATTAATGCTGAAAATCCATTTTAAGCTGTTGCCCACTTCTTCCCCCAGAGAAATGACTAAACAAAACCAATAAAGCCTCCAGTGCTGGCCCCGGCTCAGACTTTTTCTGCAGAAGCTCCGGAACCAGTGAACTCACCTGGCTGCGAAGTCCTTGTCTCGATTTCTGAGGGATGCCACCACCATTTTTTAACTACCCCAGGTCCCCCTGCCCCCTGAGGGCTCTACCAGCCCTGTTTGTCCCCGCTCACTCCCCACAGGTAGTTCCACTTTCCCTGCACCTCCCTAGCCTCCATGTCATCAACAGAGACTCATGACTCGTCTTGGGGAGGCCTCCGTGCCCTCTCTGAGGCTTCAGGTCCTTAGATCATAAAACGGGGCTTCCCCTTGGCCTGAAGCCAGGGACACATGGGGGACATCTGAGGAGAGAGTCTCGGCTGGGAGGGGGGGACTGAGCAGGCAAGAAGGTGACTCTGAAGGGAGCTCTTTCTTCCTGCTTCCCTCCTTGAGGAAAGATGGTCTCCTGGGGCTGGAAGGAGGGAAATAATGAAGCTGGAGGACGGGCACTCCAGGAGCCCACAGCCTTGAGTTAGAGATACCACAAAATGTAGAGGAGAGCCATGTGTAATAGTGCATGCAACCCAGACACGCATATGCACACACACTGTCAGCTGACCAGCACATCATACGGACGGGCACTCACATAACACATCCACACCAAGACAGAAGCACGCTCCACACATGCCATGCACACAAGCGCATCAACACAGACGTGTGCTAGATATGTACACAAATGCACAAGCTTCCCCACATTAGGGGAAGGTGGGCAACGTGGGGAAGGTTCTGGAAGAGGAGAGACATGGCAACAAATGAGGGAACGGAATTCTGAGTGTGGGGATGGACATGGGTGTGAAGAGGGAAGTCAGGGAGAGAGAGAAGAGGGGAGGCAGCGCCATGACATGGGCTCTGGTCAGCCGGGACCAAGGCCCACTCTGGACCAAGGCTCCCTGCCAAGTGAAGGTCCAGCCTTGCAGATCCTCAGGGGCCTGGCCCACCTTGAGGGGAGGTGGGAAGGGAGGTACCCCAGGTCTGGGAGAATGGGATTAGGAAGCGGCCAGCAGTTAAGGACGGGCTGGGGGCCAGGGAGAAGGGGGCAGGAGACGGGAAGGAGGGATGAGGAAAAGATGCAGAGGTGTCTGGGAAGGGGCTGGCCAGGGTGTCATTCAGCCCCTGGGACCAATCTTCCTAGAATATTTTTTTCCGTGTGGTTTGTGGATTTGTATTGTTTGGAGAAGGGGATGCTTCTCTCCAAGGGAAGCTGGGATAAGATAGGCCACAGCGCCCCCCTTGGCCTGGACCCCACCCACCCCCACGCCCTGACTTCAGGATTCTGGGGCTTGTTTTCCTTCTCTCCTGGGTCTCTGCCTCCTGCATTAGCTGCCAGAGTGGAGTTGTGAATTCACATGCCTTAAGCGAGGCAGAAACCCAAAAGAATAAAGCAGCAGGTTTCCCAGCAGAGAGGAGCAGGCCTGTGGTGAGGGAGAGAGCGCACCCCTGCCAAAAGATGTTAAAGTCCACCCCAAAGCCATCCTGGGGGCTTCGGGCCTGGGGCACTAGACCAGCCTAGCGCCTGTGATTCTGCCTTTCTGGCAGCAGAGGGCAGAAGACCAAGAGACCCCCGTGGGCACAGAGAAAATACAGGTGACTAGGGCTAGGAGAGGGTCCACTGCTCCTCCAAGCTACTGTCCCGAGCCCCCTGGTTAGAGGACTGCGGGTGTACATGGCTGGCAGGGGGTTTCCTGGGAGAAGGCGGAGCTCTGTGCCCACAGGCCTGGTCCTGGGTCCCCTGGAATCGCAACATCCAATGGGGAGTGTCTTCTTCCCACCTCCAAGGCCTCCACAGAAGACTGCTCACGCAAGACCTGGAAGGGGAGGCTGCAGCGGCACACTGCCTTGCTGACCCAGACGGAGCCAGCAGCAGCCATGGCCATGGGGGCTGAGCAGGCCTCACACGGGGCCAAAGGTTCAAGGGCCTTGCAGCTACCCGTTTTGTAGCGTCGTCAGGCCCGGGTGCTAGGTCTCAGAGGTGAGGGCCGGGAGTGGGGCGCTGGGTTTGGGAAAAGCCTGCCTGGCCCTGTCACCTCTGCAGCAGGTGCAAAGGACTTTCAACCTCTTCCCAGAGGCAGCTTTGCAGACAAGGACCTGCTACTACTGACATTCCAGCAGCTGTCAGGTGAGTGCCCTTGGCTGGGAGCAGGGAGAAAAAGTAGGGGGTGCTCAGAGCAGAACTACAAGGGGTTGCCTGCCCAGCGGCTGAGGTCACTGCAAGAAATAGTGATTGTATTGTACCCTTCTCTCCGTGCCAGTCTAATTTGCTCCTCTCTTCGACCCCAGGGCCAACTGGTGTGTGTGTGTGTGTGTGTGTGTGTGTGTGTGTGTGTGTGTGTGTGTAAGATGAATTGGTGGATAGGAAGGTATTGGGATGGTTGGTAAGTGGATGGATGGATGGGTGGATGGATGAACAGGATGGAAGAAGGAAGAGAAGAAGGATCCTGGGAGAAACAATTGGAAAAAAAGTCCCCTACCCCCGGAACCTGGGGCTGTGGGAGTTGGGGTAAAAGAAACCCCTTTCACAATTTGGGGACCCTGTTGCCCCCCAACGATCATGCCTTGATATTGGCAGAGGTCCCTCAAAACAGAATCATTTTATTCATCAATAATTTGCTGTGCCTGCTACTTCCAGGTGCCAGCAGGGCTCCTGCAGCCTCGATGCTCTGTAGCTCCAGGGCCAGACCGCCGGGTCCGAAGCCCAGCATTGTCCCTGCTGGTGCTGTGGCCTTGGACATGAGTTTTTAACGTTCTTCATACAAACTTGTTTAAACGTGAGTTTTGGACATGAGAACTGAATGGTCACTAAACAAGTGCCACACACAGCAGCCACTGTCCTCTGTATTATGTGTGCGGGTCACGGTGCTACCTGCCCCCTACCTGCCCCCATATTCCAGGATAGCTTCAGACTGTCAGCTCCCGCCAGCAGCCCCATGGACGTGCGTGCGCAGCCCCGTGGGCCTGTTTCCTGGGCCCCAACCCGCCCCAGGCCAGAGACAAGTGGCTTCCTGTCCTGTTTGGGTTTCCCCTGTGGGATGGAAGGAGGGGAGGCGGTGTCCCAGGCGCTGCCCCACTTTTCTCCTTCAAGCTGCTCCTCGGAGAAGCAGCGGACTCTGCGGCTGAACCAGGCTGCCAGGGCAGGTCCTGCGGCCCAGGCTGCACGGCGTGGTCACCAGGGCCTCCCCTTCTGCTGCCAGCCGAGCGGCTCAGCGGCCTTCCCCACTCCAAGCTGCGCGTGTGCTGCAGACTCATGAAGGGGGTGCGCCCCTTTGGGACCCGGGAGAAGAGGGACTCTCGCTCAGGACGGGCCCCTCCTTTCCCTCCTCCTGCTTCCCCACCCAGCTCCGCGCAGCCCCTCCTCTCAGACACCTGGCCTCCAGTTCCTAAATCCGACTTCCCCAGCCCTGCCCCTCCGGCCACCCCAAGCTGGGGACTAACCGGGGGCCAAGCAGCCCAGGCAA